GCAGTTCTTACCTCACCTTCCCCTTTACGGAGATTGCTAAGAGAGGTTATAGCATTATTACAGCTTCCAAACCCTCCACAGAGCCAGCATTTATAAATTACTCATGACCTTTCATCTTATTTTCACAATTAAATTAAATTAAAATCTATTTTTCCCCCATTAAGTTTATTGGTACATTTTAGGTATAAAATACATTTACATACATCATTGGGATCTTGTACCATTACATGAGTATCTTGGCTCTTATTTTTTTTCCCCTTCCCCTGCCCTCCCTTCACCCCTTCCACCCTTCCCTTAAATTAAAATCTAATACTTAATAATTTCAGAATGAGCCCTTTATTTTTTGTGAAAGACAAAATAGGTTTCTGCATTGCTCACTCTGAAGGGCCAGCCAGTTCGTGTGCGATTTATCCCAGTATGTCCACACGATTTCACAGAAGACTTCTCATTTATTGATTTATTTGCTCACTTATTAAATTAAATGTCATTAAATCAAAGCCACCATAATCCTGCTATCCAGTGATATTCACTCTGGGCCTTTCCTAGTCACAAGAAATCATCACATATGAGGTGCCTAATTACTCAGGCATCCTAACTTCTCTCTATTTCCAGAAAGTATCCAAACCTCTACACCACTACCCAAAGCCAGCCAAAGGAAGTTTCTAAGAAAACATCTTAAATTTCTGAAAATAATGTCTTATATATTAAAGAATGCTAGGCAATTTTCTGCACTAACCCCTTGGTGTTTCATTATTTGGCATGTGAAGAGATTAGGAAATATGAATTTTTTCTGATTTAAATTAAGTTTGAGACTATGGGGACAGTTGTCAACAAGTAAGCTCTTTCTGGTCAATACTGGGGATCAAATGCAGGGCACCACTACAATTTGCTTGATAGATTCTTTATTCAGTTCTCTGTTTTGAAAGGCACTTCTGACTTCATTCAGTAGAGCTAATGTTCTAATAGCTTAAAAAGTAATTTTTTAAAGGAAGAAAAAGACTCCTAAAATGATTCTTTTAGATCATACACCCAAGTTAACACCCAGTTGTGTGGCTAATAAAAGTAAATATGAAAATGAATTAATCTGTCCAAACCACATAGTCTAGATTTTTGTTTAGATTCTACCTAGATAGATAGACAGACAGATGGTATTTATGTATACTTAACATGGGCTGTTTGAACATGGCAATAATGATAAAGTTGAAGGATATTGTTTCATCCCTTTTTCTTATTCCATGTAAAGGGATCCTATTCAAGTTTTAGTAGAAGGTCAAATGTCACCACAACAGTCTTGTGGAAGGGAAGAGTTGGGATCACTAATGGCCTTTATCAGACTTTACCAAATATTTTACTAGAGAAATGAATTTAAATGTGCTGACTTTAATTCTCATTTGGAGAAAAAACAGTCATTGTAATGCTTACACTGACTTTTTAGTATTTTTTTTTACTTACTAGGATTACAGCTAGTATTAAAATACATCATATATAATGAATTTAGGCTTTAGAAAAATTTAGAATAATTGAGTTAAAATAGACACTGGAAATATAGCAAGTGCTTTTAGTTTTATGTTTATTACATAAAAGTATAGCAATTATATTTAATGATATTCTTCCACTACTATACCATATATTATTCCTAATATTCTTATCCAACAGAAAAGAAACAAACATCTTTTAAAAATTCCATATTCTTATTATTTTCATTATCCAACAGACATCTTGTGTGGGCTACATGTTTTCTAGGTCCTGGGGAGATATAGAGAAGAGAGGAAATACTTGTTCTCATGGAATTTATTTAAGAAAGTTACTACTCTGTGAATTCAATTTAATTTAAGAGCATTTACTGACACACTACACAGTATTTTCCCAGCTCCTAATGTCATCTCTCATTATATAGATGAGAAGTCACCAAAGTATTGTATCTTCATCTACTTTTAGTTCTAAACTGTAGACACAGAGATATCTCTTTCTCCATCATAAACTTATTACTCCCCCCCTCTATTCCTATGATATTCCGTGTTCACCTGTATCTTAACAATGGTCACACTGCATTATACTCTTGTGTTTTCATGCATGTCCTCACCTGTAGTTTCCATGAGGATCAGGGTCCTGTTTTATTCCTATCTTATCCATAAAGAGCATAGAACTTGCTTAAGAAAATGATTGACTTGAAGAGTATGTAGCTTCTGTCCTCAGAAAAGTTTCATTTCAATGGAGAATGGAAAAGGGAGATAGACTAATTCATTCTTTAGGAGAAGTCCTTTAAGCGACAGGCAACTTTCACATAAATTTTCATGTTAAAGGAGCCCCCAATAGAATACAGTTTAAAGGAAGGGGAGAAGATTTATTTAACATGCTAAGTGATAAATGTTAGTTACTAACCTCATAATAGAAAAAGGTCATTTCTCCAGATATTTATATTAAATTTTGAGAGGATCATAATGCCTATATGTGAAACAATTACTTCCACAAATAGGCATTTACTTGGGTTTAAAAAAAACTTAGAACTTTCTTCATAATCTCAGTTTCTATATATTGGAATGTGCTGTGCAAAAACGAGCATCTAATTGGAGGGTCAGGAGAGAAACAATAGTTAGTTGCTCTTACCTAAAGAACTGTCTTCCACTACTGGGTCCCTATCTGTCATATTCTCATTCCTTTTCCTAGTGCGCATGAACCAGTGTCCATATACACTGCCCCAAACAGGGAACATTTTTAGCTGTTGAGTAACTGAACTCACCTGCACTCTTTGTGTGTGTGTGTGTGTGTGTGTGTGTGTATGGTGGTGGGGGTTGAACTTGGGGCCTTCACACTGAGCTATATCCCCAGCCCTTGTGTGTATGTGTGTGTGTGTGTGTGTGTGTGTGTGAGATAGTGTCTTGCTAAGTTGCCCAGGCTCAACCTTTTGAGGCTTCTACCTCAACCTGCCAGAGCTCTGGGATTACTGGCATGTATCACCATGTCCAGCTACATTCTTGATCTAAAGGATCAAGATAAAAAAAGATAAATCTTTTAGATTTACCTGCTTAAGCATAAACCATCTTGTGGAGTAGTATGTGACTTGTGCACAAGCATATTTTGCATCACCTACATTGTGTAATATATTTTGGATATACTGTATTTTGGGGTATATTCTTTTTTTTTTTTTTTTTTTTTGGTACCGGAGATCAAACTCAAGACCTTGCACTTGTGAGGCAGGTGCAGCACCACTGAGGTAAATCCCAGGACCCTGGGGTATCTTCTTTTTTCAGTCACAAAGAGGGTAAACAAATAGCAACACATAGATACACAAAATTCTACAGTTTCGGTCACCAGTAAGATTAGAACAATACCCATGATCCACAAAAATTTCTAACTACTGAAAAATTGCTTCTCAGGTGGCCAAAAATACCACCATCATGAGCCAGACACACCTGTAATCCCAGCACTAGGGAAGCTGAGGCAAGAGGATTGCCGCAAGTTCACAAGTTCAAGGCCAGCCTAAACTACACAGTGAGACCTTGTCTAAAAGTAAAAAGAGAAATACCACCATTGTCTCACAATCAAAACAAGGATTTTATATGAGGAATAAGCAGAGCAGCCGTGGGGTATTCAACAGTGGCAAGAAGACACTGAAGATAAAGGCCTTGCTTTTCTTGGCATGACCATTTAATATTTTCTCTACTTTATTCCACCCCATCCTTACTCCCAGAAAGACTACCTTGGGGAACACGTGGAAAATATTTGTTAATGTTTTCTGAATAGGAATACATTCAGTCCATGAATCCATTAAGGAAGTTTCCCATAAAATGACTGTTTCCAGATTTAAATAGGAGGCTGAAAAGATTTAAGGAAGTTTTTTGAATTACTGCATAAGTTGCAAAACACAGTGTTCTCAATGCAGAGTGGGACTTTTATTAGGGAGAGGAGCTGAAGAAGTTGCTATACATTTTTAATATTTTGATTTTTAATATATACAGGATTAAGTCATTATAGAAACAGCCTGAAGGCAGGCCTTAAATTATTACCACTGTTCATATTGCCATAAGGGCATAACTGTAGAAAAGTGAGCCTGCAGGGTTACTTGCTTATCTCAGCTCAGCTCCCTCATTTACTTTTTGTGGTGGTTTGACCTGTAATGATCACTTTCTTTGTTATGGCTCTTAAAGACCCCAACTATTTTGGTCATCCTATTGCAGGTGACTTCACTGATGGTGACGTTTGGTTTGTTTACATTCTTTAAATGCAAGAGCTTTCTCACTACCCTCTGGCCCAGGTACCATACTGAGAGGAAAGCCTATTCATGTTGTCCTCCCAGAAGATTAGGTAATGAGCAGTCGGGACCCTGAGGCTGGCCTGACCCACCCATCTTGAGTGACAACATGACAAAACAGAACCCTAAAAATCTTCTCAAGGCTTCTTGGTTTCCCCTGTAAGTGATGGCAGTGACAGAACAATAAAAACAAAAATCTATGAACTTTTACATTCCAATAAGATTTTTCAATTTGCTACTGTTAGCATTCCTTTTCTTCCTAACAAGATAAAATCAGATTTTATACATCATAATTTGGTTCTGATATTCATATACATAAAATTTCCATTATACATATTTCTTTGCATGAAGAATTTAAGCTTTGACCCAAGATTATGAATACACACAAATATACAGATATATAACCTTTCAAGAGAAAAAAAACTAAAAAAATTATCTCAAAAGAAATGTAAAATGAAAACAAAACTTGATTTCCAGCCTTTTTAGGAGGCAAGTGGTCATTCTGAGGAATGCTGTCAGCTCTGTGACATTGCCAGACAGACCAATCACTTTGGTTCAAAACTGATTAGTTCATTTCCTCCCTGGTAGGTATTTTTTTCTATTCCACTTAAGTTGTGAATTGACTGAGTTCTTTGAAAAAAGGGTGTCTTTGGAAAGAGACAGAACTTATAAGCTATAGACTCATTAGATTTCATTCTGCTATGATTTTCAACCAGTATACAGTTTCATCTTTTGTCTCTTGGTGCAGACCTTTACTGCCTGAGGACTGCAGGGCCACCGTACAACCTGCACAGACCCTGAGCTCAGAGTGTGCCCCGCTCTGTCGGAACGGCTACTGCACCCCAACGGGCACCTGCTGCTGCAGTCCAGGCTGGGAGGGTGAATTCTGCAGAATCGGTTAGTATCTCTGTGGTCACAGAAAGACCGGGGGTGGGACAGTTCTTAGGTACTCAGTAACATAGCATCCCTGTTCTACCACCACCTTGTGTTCAAAATATTTAGCTATTTGTAATAATACTAGTGCTCATCTGTTCTGAACTTCAAAATTAAATGTTTCCCATTTCCTTAATGCCAACTATTCACATATGTAAGCTAACCATTATATAAAAGAACTTTAAATGACTGAGTCCTTTCAAAAAGAAAAAAAAAAATGAGAACAGCCCAACCAGGCCATCTCCATGGGGCGCCCACCCGTGGATTCTGTGCGCACACACCAGCCAGTGACTTAGTGTTTGCCAAGCCCCTCTCTCCGTCCTGGCATTTACCAAACACCCCATAAATGCCCTCCCAGCTTTACTGCTTGCTTTCTTGCTACAGCACACTAAAAATGGGGTTTTTCAGTGAGTGTTACTAAATAAAAGGGAAAATGTAATTATCCAGAGTCATATTACGAGACTTTTTCATTCTGTTTGCTACTCCCCTGTGAACCATCAGCTAAGTATGCAGCTGTTCAGACAGCAAAGGAGATTTTTATTCAGGGTTATTCTATCCTTGAACGTGAGATTTCCTCAATTTTGTGCAATGACATTTAAGTTCTATTTGATGTGACATGAAAAAATTGGATAAATTTAGAAGCCTAGAATTTAAGGTATTATGTGTTAAAGATGCATATCAAGCAATCAGCATATATACATCTTTCTTAGAAAATACTTTGACCCCTGCTATTTTATATATTAAAGTACCTCTTGCCAATGAAAAGTTAAGTCCCAAATTAATATTTAATAATGTTCTTAATTCATAAATACTATCTTTTATTCTAAGGATTTATTTGTTTTAAAAATTATAACCATAACTTGCCTACTTTATGTATTGTCTAACAAAAATAACCAACATGCAAAGTCACTTTTACAGTATACATTTTAAGCTTAAATTGCTTCAGCAATTTAATGGTATTACATTATGTAATTGATTAATACCATGATTGCATATCCAATACCATGATTGCTTATCCAGGAAGGAGGTATCAATTCAAACTCAATAGAAATTAAGTAATTATATTATTTAAAACAATTGCTTACATTGTATTGATTCAGTCTACCTCCCTTTTTGTTAGTTGACCAAAAAATAAGAATCAGTGTTCAACTGTAATGATATTCAAATTCCTGATAATGTATTTCCTTCTCCTTCCCTTGATGCCTGACAATATCTATCTCTCTGTTTCTTTTATATAGCATCCACTTCATTGGACTCTTTACTTTATATTTTGCCTTACCTCTTGTATCATGTAGGTAGTCAGTTACCAAATATTTATGGAGTGCCTTCTAGAGATACATGTTTAAACTGAGATTAAACAAATTATTTTGCATTTTGGTGACATTATACAGACCTTAATAGATAAAAGTAATATGTGATGTAATGGAAATAGGCATTCTTTGAATTAACATGTAGTTTTATTTCAGTGAAATTCCTTCCATCTTTCTACTAGTTAAATTTAAGTAGTTTTAACATATAAGAGAAGCCAGAGTATTGAATAAAGGTAATCTGTCTTGGATATTTTTGACCGAAGCAAGAATTTATTCATATACCCACATGATTTACTCATCTCCCACAAATTTAAATGAGAAAATTCTTATTCTTCCTTTTCCATGTGTCAGCCACAGACCCCTGGAAAATGCACTTGAAAAGGTGAAAATGACCCTGACCCCTCAAGGTATAAGGCAAAGTACTCAAGGTATTTGATTCTGTCTGCAATGGCTGCACTCTCCAGGTTTATCTAATCTGCAAATTACAATCAATTTACATATCAAATTCTATGCCTTTGTTTCATTTTAGCAGTAAAACTTTACATTCTCCACTTATACTGTAGTAGTACAAATTCTTTAATGAAGAAATTCAGTGCTGTGGAGTAACCCAGAAAGGAACGTTCAGAACATTCTTTGCTGGCCAACTGCACTGTCCCAGGAACGGACTAGGAAATGTACCATAATTGAAGAGAAGCATGTGCTCTGCAACCCCTGGAAGCAAAGGGAAGGAGGAGCCTGAGGAGGTCCATGTGGTGGATAGTCCATCCCAACCAAACTCCAAGCTGTCCTTACCTGGCCTCCTTCTCTAGGCAGTATGGTCCTGTTGAGATCCTACCCTGGAGGAATGGAATTCACGTGCCTGGAAGGGCCTCTGTTGAAATGTCCCTGTGGAGCAGAGATTTGGCAGTAATGAAATCTTTGTGTTAAAATCATTGAAATAGTCTTATGATCATGAAATGATCTCGTGATCTCTGCTTCTTCAAATTCTCATGATTTCTTCAAATTCTCATGATTTCTGTTTCTCTAGAAATGTCTCCCACTGTCTGCTGAGTTCTGGCCCCCAAGTAACTATGGGTCTGAAAACCTTTCCTACTTACATACTTATCTTTCAGATCACTCTGTGACTATCTTCCTCCTCTTTCCCTACCTTATCTTATTAATCAAATATTTGTGGGTCTCATACTCAACACTTTCTGACATACAGAACCCGAGTGTGATATTGTTGCTCTTTTTCTCTCCCAGCAAAATGTGAGCCAGCATGTCATCATGGAGGTGTCTGTGTTAGACCGAACAAGTGCCTCTGTAAAAAAGGATATCTTGGTCCTCAGTGTGAACAAGTGGACAGAAACATCCGCAGAGTGAGCAGGGCAGGTATTCTTGGTCAGATCATTGACATGACATCTTATTTGTTGGATCTAACAAGTTACATTGTATAGTTCCTGGGACTGTTTTAATATTCCTTCCAATGGGCATTTATTTTTTATCCTGTCATTAAAAAGAAAGACTGCTATCCTGCTACACACTCCTGTGATTTCATTTTCCTTTATTAATTTAAAAATAATTTCCAGAAATGTGCAGATCCTCTGTGTGTATGTTGGTATGTCTGTTCACTTAGGCACGTACACACCTACACTCACAACCCCAATACATGTGTTTGCAAAACAGATGGGTTTTTTTTTTGGTACTGGGGATTGAACTCGGGGCCTTGTCCTTGCAAGGCAAGCGGTGGCATCACTGAGTTAAATCCCCAGCCAGATGGATTTTTAAATATATATATATGCTTCATTGTGCAGAGTAATTTACACAGAAATTCCATTGTAAATTGATAACGGAATTTTTATGTAACCAGAAGAGATTATTTGACTTCCAGAGAATTTTCTGTCTGTAACTACTAAAGTCAACATTAATGGAGTTTTGAAACACCACTGTGTAATCTGATGGATCTAATAAAAAAGCAATACTTTTATATTAAAGGACTAAATAAGAGAATGTTTCAGAACTCCCTGATCAATTTCTAAATGAGCAACTAGACACAAAATTATAATCTTCATTTTTATCAATGTATCCAATTACAGAATGTTATGCACTTACCTTTTTATCTGGCAGGGCAATCTGGTTACTTCAGCTTAATCTCAAGATTGTTTTTAAATGTTTTATAATTAAATCATAACAGCATATTTTAAAATCAATCTTCCTGAAAGGTCTGCTTTTATTGTATATTTTATTTAACAATAGGCACTGGGTTTGTGTTACATATTTATATTTTTTATTTTATTTTTATAATATAGACATCACCTAGATGAAACACCTTTACCTGTCCTGTAAAATACTAAAGTTACATTTTTCACCAACTGAATTGGAAGGAAGGGGAGTGAGAAAGCAAACAGTCTTTAATGTGCTGTGGATCTAATCTAACAGTGTTTCCTTTTGCAAACATGTAATCATTAACAACAGATGAGAAAGCAAGAAAACAGCTAATTCCTATAAAATTCCGGCATTAAACATTTGTAAAGTGCCTTTCACCATAGCAAGACTGTCAGAGTATATGTGATTAGAATGTGGCAGATTTCACACTGAATCAAAACCTCCCAGGAGAAGAGTTCACTGGTTTTTATCCAATCTCAGTTGTGTAAGCTATCACTTGTACAAATTTTTAATACAATAATTCCTGCTGAATATGACTTTTAATGTATATGCTCCTTCAGACCTCAGTGAAAATACCATTTGGTTAATGTATCAATAAATTTTCTGTAAAAATTCGTTCAGGTTTTTAAGAGATAACATTGTTCTAACTTAAAACTGCAAAGAGTCTGGTAGACATTTTTCTTAATGGTTTGGCCACTTCTCACAGTTTTGGATGTTAATAAAATCATCAAGCCTCTTTGCACTGCTGAAAAGACACCTCTATTCATGACAAGGGCACACCCACTCTCGTCCTTCTTCTGTAAACATCCATTCCTCTAGAATCTAAATTGTAGAATTGTATAGCTTATGCAGCACTGACTTTCCAAACCTGCTCCTTACCCTTAAGAATGTGAGCCTCAATTAAATAATTTTCAAAACCTGGTAGCTAGTATTTCTCTATTGTTTTAAAGAGAGAGTTGCAATGAAAGCAAAGTGTTTATATAGAAACCACAATGTAGAAAGAAAGATTGGTTAAGTACACTGTTCTTGTCTTCCATATATGATTACTTAAGTTTCAAGTGACCTCATGCCAAATGGAAATGGGTTGAGAAATCTTGGTTCAGTGCTTAGTGAACAATAGCCTGCATTAAAAAGTGCATGCATAATTTTGCACAATTTAGATTCAATTGACAGTCTATTCAAAGAAGTCTCAGGATTAAATGAGCATGGAGACCAAATTGCCCTCTTACCCCAGAAAAGGGGTGGTTCCTTCTAGTCTCACTAACACTTCATTGGCCCAACAGTGTGACAAATCTTGCAATGAACCATGCAGTAGCCTGCATCTGTAGGTTAATAGCAATCTTTTGTCTCCCTGGCTTTCTCTTCATAGCCCTTTTACTGAATTCCATCACAGAAAGTTTTACAATTTAAAAAAATGTCCTGACAACCATTTTTATAAATGGACCTTACCATCTAATCATCCCTCATTCAACGTGGGTGACATTAACAAAATGTGAATTTCTTGTGAGGGAGCCAGCTGTCTAAATCTGTCAAATTGTGCAGTTTTATTACACATTCTCCCATGTATACTTTGATTGAAAACAATAAGTGTTCTGCTGTATATTCAGCAAAATCTTTAAACCTAAGTGTTTCTTCTTGCATCTTTAATCTTTCTATTTCTTTCCCAAAATAAAAGGTGTTCTCCTGCCATTAGTTCTGCTATTTAAATTAATCTATATTAAATTGACCAGACCCAACTTTTTCTATATAGCCTTTGCCCAAGTGGATGAGTTTCAAGTGACTGAGAGAAAGGGATATGCGCCCCAGGTGTCACTGCCTTCCCTATTGTGGGTTGTTAGAATAAAAGCCCAAATTGTTCTAAAAGGAAGATAGCAAGATCCATGGATGTTAAACTCAAGCCAAAAAGGTGAAGTCAGTGGAGTTATTTTTGTTGTTGTTCTTCTCAGGAAAACAGTAAGGGCCGTGGTAATTGATGGCTACACATTTTAAACTAAGTGGCCAATTCAAAAAAAAAAATCTCTTTGACCCTTTCTTTCAAGTAGATTTTTTAAATGTCCCACTGGGGAATAATCTTCAGTAATTCATGATGAGAGGCAGATAGGAATTGGCTAAAAAGCATGAGCTAAGGAAAAATTATTGTTTCATCACATAAAAGGCAAAATCTGTTTAGTTCATAAAGTGCACAATTTAAAGTAGAAGAAAAATGTTCTTGGTATGAATGTGTATGTGTAAGAAAAATAAAGACTAGGCAAATGTGTATTATTACCCCCTTATTCACTCTAGAGCATAAATTTTGGGTGTCAATTGAATATGAAATATTGCTATGGTTGTTTTACTTACAAATAACCTTTCTACCACTATTTCTGCCAAACTTTTGTCCTGGTTCATAGAACCTTGATTTTTTGACAGTTATTTAAGATTGTAAAATGAAAACTGAATTGGCAGGTCCTTAATGTGAAAGGGAAGAAAGACTCAAGAAACTTATGTGATGGCAAAGGTGCTTCTATGAATACCTTTTCTTCTTAGAATTTTATTTCAATGTAGCCATTGTAAAATATATCTTCTATTTCATCATAAAGAACACTCAGACATTTTCTCAGATTAACAGATCTATCCCACAATGAAGTAGTGAAGAAATTCATGTAACACACACACACACACACACACACACACACACACACATACACACAGCCTAGCCAGAGAACTGTGTCATTCACATGACTCACTTCTTCCCTACTTACTCATTTGAAAATTATTATAGAACCATGTACTGGTAATTTTAATCCATATTTTTGATGCTATTTTGATCTCTGAAACAAATTACATAATAACCCTACTAAGTGTAATGGGGTTACATGCTACATCTAGATTCTTTCAAAGTACACATTAATTTAAACCTTTATTAGACCAACTTCCTGTTCAGTCTACTAGCTTTGACTATAAAAGAGAAACCAAATTTACATTCTTTTTTTTGTATATCCTTTTATTGGTACATTTTAGGTGTACAGTATGACATTCATCATTGGAGATATGCACCTTTACATAATCTCTCTTGGTTCTTATTTTTTCCCTCTTCCCCTGCTCTCCCTTCAACCCCTCCATCCCTCCCTGTTTACAAAGACTTTGTTTCTTTTTTTCATTTTCTCATATTAATTCCATTCCGTTCTTTCCTTTCCCCTATCCCTCCCACTTACCCTTCCCCTTTGCCCCTTTTCTTCCTATTTCATATTATCTATTATACCTTTTAGTACTTATTTACACTTTCAGTTTCTCACACCAAATCTACATTCTTAAAAGGAAAAACAAAAATGTATCACAAGAAGTTGTAGTTGGCTGATTAACAAATTAATTTCTGAGGATCTGTATAGAATGTTACCTAAGATATTTGTATCCACTCTTTCCCTTCTAGCTCTTTCTACCCACATCTAGCCTTTCTCTCTTTCCCTGTCTTTTAATCTCTTTCCTCTTCTTTCTCCTCCATTCATTTATTTTCTTTTGGTTTTGAGTAAATAGACATGTCCTTAGTATATCCATAATGAAGATGTCCAAGGGCAGATAGCTGTGGATTTTGCTGTTATGATATTTTAGTTTCCTGAAAAATGCCCTCATCTGGTATCATATTTGCTCAAAATATGTATCATGAAAAGTAGTAGACAAATAACATATTAGACTGATCTAGCAAAGTCAATGAAGGAAATAATGAAGAGCATATATGACTGCCAATCCAGATGTTCCATGATGATATTCTATCCACAGGATAGCTCTTCAAGAGCTTGAGCTAATAATACCGAACAATAGAAGCTATTTCCTACCCAAGCAACAGCCATTTTTATGGACTCTGAAGAATCTTTTTTTCCAAATCTATGAGGGAAAAAATAAGTGTTTCCTCAATGAAGATTTCAGAATCTTCTTTCCCTACCCCAGGATGAGATCTGAACTTGCAGAGAATTCAGACCAAAGTCCCATGCCTAGCAAATGTATATATTTCTTCATTACTCCCAGAAAGTTCATGGGGATATTACTGGGAATGCTGAAGGAATCCCATCAGAAAGTTCCTCTTTAGAATATCTGAAATAGAAGTTTGCTATTTTACCTTCTTTCTCTGTCACACCAACACAAATTGGTCATATTTCCAATGATTAATATGATTGCAAGGAAGGTGGGAAACCATATATAGAAGTATCTAGAACCATGGCCATGGAAACTTCCAAACACCAGTTTCAGTCAATTTCAACCTTTCTTCCTCCTATTTCCTCTGAATAAGTTTTGAAAATTGTCCTCAAATAATTTTAGGAGAGTGAGACATATTCATGGTAATATGGTGGAGCTATTTTCTTAGAGTCATGATTTCCCTAGATGCTATGAAGAGGTTTGTTCATGTATAAGATTAGCATTTTTCTTAAATTCCTAATTAAATAAGATATACCCATCATTTCCTTTCCTTTCCCATATACTTGTACAGGTCAAATATCAATCAGTTTAAAAAATCAAAAATAACGAATAGTTTCTGTTCATCATCATAAAATCTTATGCATAAAATGTTTTTTGTTTTTGCCACACAACAGTGATGTTTAAAATAATGGCACTAACACTACCATTCATTCTAACATTAATTCAACCTTCATTCTAAGGTTATCTGTCATGTACATCATAAAGCAAACACCATGTTTCATATGAGGTTTTTAAAAATATGTAGAATATTTATACTTAAGTTCAAAGTATATATACACATATATATACAAGCAGGGTAACATACATAGGGTGAGTTATCTCAATTGTAACCTTGTAAGTAAAAAATACCATATTATAACACAGTACATTTAGTACAGAAAAATTGATCACTAACAATGATGGGAAATTCCTAATGGCTAAATATAACATAAACTTTTTCTTCACAGAAACCACTCTTGTGCATTTCTCTGCAATAAAATAACTAGGGAGTAGTTTCCATGCACATGAACAAGGTGTGATCAGGTTTGGGGTGACCTATGCCAAAATGTATGTTGTGTGGTTCTTCATATTCTTAACCTCAGATACATGACTTTCCTAGAATAAATTAAGAGTTCAGCCAGGGTCAGTGGCACACACTTGGCTACTTTGGAGGCTGAATGAGCCAGGAGGATTACAAGTTCAAAGCCATTTCTGGGCAACCCAATAAGACCTTGTATCAAAGTGAAATTCTGAAAAGCACTGAGGATGTAGCTTAGTAGTAGAGCACTTGCCTGACATGCACAAGCCCCTGATTTAATCCTGAGCACCGCAAAAAAGAAAGAGTTCACCTACAATAGGATCCTTTCATAAGCTAATATTGAGAAACTAAATTAAGGACCTTAGGAAAGATAAGATATTGCCTATATCTTACTACACTCACGGGGTATGTTTGGACATACATTTTACCAAGAACTATGAAATAACAAGATAAATGATATTCAATTACTATAGACTTTTTTATCTGGATTCCTTAGGATATGCTATATATAGTAGAGTTTATTTTTAAAAGAAACCTATCTAATTACATGAAAAAATTATTGAATTGTTATAATGAGCAAGCATGAAAAACTACTGAAAGGAAAACCTTGTTTCTTCCCTGGTTTTATCGGTGATTAATTTTGCCCAACTTTAAAGAATAGACACCTGTTTCATTCTTCTAACCTACGTGGGTTTTCCTAGTTGTTCATTTTCCTTTAGGTTGTTGAAAATTAGAGCAGTTTGCCCATATCCTTACTCATAGGAGATTTCAGAACAAATCCATGCTTGGATTTCTGTAAGTGGAAGAATATATAGGAGATATATAGATATAGATCTATAGATATGAACAATTAGTAAAAGCAGGGCAGGTACAAGTTTAAAGGAGCAGGGTTGTTACATGAACTCATTAGGATTTCTGTAAATGTTCTCCTGAAAAATAACAGGCAAACTTATTGATTCCCATAATCCTCTGAGTTCGAGCTCATCTGATTTGTTTCATCGAGTTATGTAACATACAGTTCTCTTTGATTGATATACTATTCCACCTTCCATCCCTTGATTATCAGAAACATTTATTGAAGTGCCTAGCATGATTATGTGCTGTAGAAAAAGCAAGGACGTTTATAAGGACAAGGTTTCGAGCCCAATGGGTATGCTGAACATGTTTGAAGCAAAAGACAATTTCATTTTCAGTCAACTCCAATTCAGCTCATTAGAATCTAGCAGTAATAGTACAGATGACCTAAAGTACATCCATGTGCATCTGTATGTGTGCACACACCCATGTAAATATATTTATCTATCTGTACAAACACTACAAATGTATACACACTATCTATGTAATATATAATATATGTATAATGCATATAAATTCTAACAAGTGTATTTGTGTTATCTTAAATAGAACAATTGTATCTTGAAGTGGTATATGCAGAGAATTGGTTTTATTGTTGATCTGTGGATTTAATGATTTTTAGGAAAAAAGGATGTTTAAGTGTATAATTTCCTTTCTTAATTTAATATATTTATGTAAATGCATGCCTGAAATTGGTTAGATTTGCTCTATTTTGTGTCTTTTAACATGATCAAATGTATTAAACTTTATCTTATGACTTGATGCATATGTGCTATTTTAAAATTATTTTTTATTTTAGAATTTTAAAAACTTTTCCTAAATATTCAGACTGATGATATGAGTGTTGATTTTTTAAAAATTCTATACCCAACCTACTTCCAAATATTTTTAGCTTTTTTCATTTCTCATGTTCTAATTTTAACATTTTCTCCCAAAATATTTGTCAGTGGCAGAGTCAGTTTCATTGTATAGATATATTAGGCAACCATGAAGATGTTCCATTCCTTTAAATCTGTTCTAATTTGTAAATGGCCTCAATCTGATCCTTTCTAGTGAGTAAGAACTAACAAAAGAAGAATGTAGAAGAGCATTTAGAATAATGAGTTCCCAAACTGAAGGGAAAAAGCATGTAGAGGGGAAGAGAGATGAAAAAGAAGCTGATTTTAGATATCCCAGAACTTTGCTGACCTTGCCATTTGATTTCTAGTTAATGCTATCAAGAGTATTTGTATAATGTGTGATCTGCTGTTTATTTGATGAGCACGTGTTTGCAGTACATGTTTACACCCCTCCTGTGTAGTTGGTACATGTACACAGCACATCTTAATTCCTTTTTTCATCCCCTTTCCTCCCCTCCATTTCCTCTCCCTCCATCTCTAATTGTCTTGTCATTTGACAAAGACCTATCTCCCTACTTCCTATTATCTAGCCTTTATTTTGATCTTTATTTATAATTTGGGTTTCTCATATAAGAGAGACTGTGGTATTTAAGATTGTGCATCTCATTTATTGAACTTAACATTATGGTCTCAAGATGCATCAATTTTTTCCTATAAATGACTCAAGCTTATCATTCCTTATGACAGAGTAGTACTCCATTGTGTGTAAATACCACATTTTATTTATCCCTTTATCTGTTCCCACTATGGAAATCAGAATGGAAATTCCTCAAAAAAATTCAAACTAGGAATTCCATTTGACCCAGCTATTTCCTTCTAGTATCTTCCCCAAAGAGTTAAAGACATCATATTACAGTTATCTTCTATTTTAAAAATGAATTAAAAATCTGCTGATATTCATCAGGAGTGCAATCCGCTTGGGTAAATGTATGTCATTGACTTACTGAGAGGAAAAGCTGCCTCTCTGCCAAGAGTTTGCCATTTCTAAGAGAATCAAATGTGTGACAAGGCACTTACTCATGAAGTGTCACAGAGCTCAGGTTGCTTCCTAGAAGTCTGAAGTTGAGCAAGCTAACACCACCCTTTGGCTGATTCCCACCAAGGCCCAGACACCAGCGTGCTCCTTCAGATACTGCCTTCCCATTGTGAGCATGCGTCCTGGCTTAGCCCAAGAGCACCCTCTGATTACTGCAAGTGTCTTCTGCTTTGTGAATCTCTGACAGACCTAGAAGTGTCCCTACACAGTAGGAGAAAATAGTACATACAGATAACCTAGGGATGGAAGTGCTTTCTTGCTGGA